AATAGACTGATCTGTCGTTCTTTGGTAATAGGTATATTGCATTTGGGGGCCCTGTAGATAATCAGTGGGAGATACAGCCTAATCTTAGAGAATTACAAATATCTGAGAGCTGTGAAGAGCAGATACCTGTTAAATCTAGACAGTAATCACTTTATGAGTTGTTCTCAGCCCCAAAGAGGCCTGGGAGGTCTGATGGGCTCAGGCTCAGTGTTCCTAAAACCTGTCCAAGGCTTCGGTTCTCTTCGTGCTCTCTTAAAGGATTAAGAGCCCATCAAAAGCAGTTTCTCACCCATCTCAGATGAGGCCTCAAGGGCTAGTGCAGAAACTTGGAAGTCAGTTTTATAGAGCCAGTCACGTTGTTTCCCAAACTTGTCTGAGAGTATCAGTGTGTATTTTGCACATTAACAATTTGGAACAAACGATATGAATTGTTGTCTACAGCCATACCACCCTGAGCGCGCCCGATCTTATCTGATCTTGGAAGCTAAGCAAGGTCAGGCCTGGTTAGTACTTAGATGGGAGAACGATGTGAATTATTGAAAAAATGTGGAAATGATAATAACGTAAATAAGAAAGCTCACCAACAGAAATTGCAGGTTCAGAAACTCTAAGGTCATTTAAGTTGTTGCAAATAAATATTATGAAAGTATTAGAAATAATAAGCATATGAATTTTTTATTTAAAAAATTAGCCCAAATTCTTAATTTTGTCTATAGAGGTAGCCTGTATTAGCAACCAAGCTAGATGGCTTTATATTCTGTCTTGTGCTTTGAATTATTTTGCTTTTATTGAATTTTCAGCCAACCTTGTATGTCCTTTGCTGATGTTGGAAATAACATGGAGCTTACAAAATCTTCCATTAAGAGGCTAGGGAGAAGGCCAGTTCGAGGCTCATTTTGCCCGAGCCTCTTCTCTTTTCAGTAACCTGTAAGCCAAGAGCTATTGCGGAAGGTGTCTTTCTGTCCTGTGCAGAGGTTCCGTCAACTCCTTTCCAGTCAACACGTTTCCTGGTCGTATATAACCCCAGCTAATGCCACGAGGGAAACTGGTGTGAGCTCTCCCTTGGGAAGGCTCTGTTGCCTATGATGGGGAAAATGCTTAATGACCACTTTACTCTATACTTGCAATAAGTTTTAATAAGATTACTGATATGAAATTTTAATAAGCCATCTCCTAGTTAATTTATTAATTTCCCTCAGTTTTCACACTCTCAATATTCATGACCTTTCTATTCATAAAAGTACATCTTTTCTCGGTGCCCAGGTGCCATGCCACGTTCTCTCTATCTCAGGCTGCATAATGGGAGTGTCCAAGTGACACCTCCTGCCTGGCTGGTTGATAATTAAAATGCCAGACAAGAGTGGCAAGGGCTTTAGAAATATTTATGTAAGATAAATGATTAATTTATGTTCTATTCAAGACAGCTTCAATATGATAAACATTTCCTTATCTTGATAATTAGATGGGGTGATCTGTGGCATATGAAAGTTATGCCATACATTTTCGCCTGTTTTTCTATTCCCCTAGAGTGATTTTAAACTAACTAAATAAACTTGCTTTACACTTATGAGCCTGCAGAATTTTGACTATATTTTTCAAAATCCCAGTTTAAACAGTTAAAAGGACATAAATAACCAAAATGAAAAAAAGACTCAACAAAACAACTAAAACTCTTCTTGGGCCCACCAGTTAGCCACTTGTTATTGAAAATGTCTGAGGTAGAAAGAATCTGCTTTGGGACCATGGCTACACAGATGAGACTTTAAGTAAATAATTTAGAACAGTGTTCTCATTCTCTGGGGCAATACACGGAGGCGGCACTGGCCACCTTGTTGGTTTGAGACTTTATCTTCAATTAGGCGAATGAAACAGAGGCAACAGTATGTTCCACTGGCCCCTTAAAATGCAAATATTGTGTGTCATTCACTTCAGAAATGATCCTGATGAGCAGCCGTTTACAAGGATGTTTTGTCTTGATTTTTCTTAGCAATGGATTCATTTCCCTGTAAGGTTGTCCAACACGTAAAAAATGCAGGAGAAGGAACTCTACAATTTCAATGTGGGGGAGAAAAGGTAAACCAAGCCAAACAAAAAACAGAAACACTCTATCCTTCGAAGTGATTTTTAAAAATTGATTAGGAATAAACAGACTTACAATTTTGAGCCTGGTCCATTAGCACAATACTTTTTGTGTTTTCACTATTTTGTATGCAAGAGCTTTGCTATGACGTACTCCACAATTTGTGAAAATAATTTCAGGGAAGGAGAAGTTTACAAACTTTTCCTTTGAGGGATCTTACGTATAATTGTAATAACCAGGATAAGAATATATCCATGTAGACTCTAAAACTTCTCCAAACTTGGTAATTTGAGATTTATTAAAATGCTAAAGTTACTTATGAAAGAGAGAGAGAGGAGGGCAGGTACCAACTCATCCTTTCTGTGCAGAGTTCATCATCAAAGAAGGCTCAGAAAATATCAATCTTAGATGTGCCTTTTGAGAATTGGAAATTGGTATTGATTTTAAATCCACATCCCTCTTCCTTCTCCACATATTATTTTTGGAGATTTTTATCTTAGAAACAAATTCACCATTAATCTGTCAGTTTGCTTAATGCAAGTGGAAAGTAGGGTAACTTAAGGCAGAAATGACTTTTAATTTCAGAAAAAGAATCAGTACCTCGATTGTATAACATTTTCTGGAAGACAAGTATCTCGTTTGTTGCTTATAAAGCGTGACAGGAAAGCAGGATTTTCTTAGAATCATTTTACCAGTAGGGTATTTTTACATACACGTCCTACCTTGGCCGATCTTTGGGCACGCACACACGCACACACAGACTTGTGAACGGTTTTTCATAGCTTCATTTTGTGGCCTATTTTATTCTCATTTGTAAAGACGTCTCTAATCAAAGTAATGACACCCAAACTGGCTGAACTGTCAGATGGCATGCCTCTTGCAGGTTCCTTGTAAGATTGTCCTACACGATGTTTCGAGTGGTGATTACTCCTGGAGTGCTGACAACTGTGTGACGCACAGTCCTGGGGGTGACATATGCTTCACTGTATTATAATGCGTTGCTTTATTTTTAAAAATTGCCTACCTTACCTGGAAGATGTTTGGCCAACTAGAGATGGTGTATTTCTCTTGTATCCAACACCCTTTTGGCCTATTTATGCCATATATTACAAATCTGATAGTGTTTCTTTGCATTAATATTCCCCTAAGTGGAAATGTCTTTGGCATCTATTTTTCACGATTCAGGGTTACCCCCATCTGTTCTAAAATACAAGGTTAACAGCTTTTTCTGGGGGATAACCCTAAGGCCCTGATCTCATACCGCCCTGGGGAGGGATGTTCTCTGGGAGTGTAAGGTGATGCCTCTGTGTGATGCTCTAACAAGCGTGCAGCTTGGAAGTGCACCTGCTTTTGCCTCAAGTTCTGCAGTGTCCCAGCTCAGGTCTCCAGCCTTTTTCTTGAGTCCATACTACTTTTCTCTAGACTCGTCAGCATTTTTCTTTCCTTTGTGAATTCTCTGTCTGCAGAGCACATGAAAACACTAATGTCCTATTTAAAGCATTCTATTTGGATGAATCACACATTTAAGGAAATATCTGAGCCTATTGTGACATTCTCTGAGGTGTGCTGTGATCCCTCACCAGATGTGACTATACTTCCATTCCTTGACTGGGGGGATTGGAGCAGCCCCAGTGAGGGCATCTCATAAAAAGATTTGGGTGCCCCCTGGTACATAGGCAAGGAAATCTATTATGTGTATGGTTGGGAAGCTATCAGAGGGTTAACACAAGTTACAGCCACTCGCTTTGTGTGTCCCCCCACTTTTTTTTTTGCCATAAGAAACATCTATATTGAAAACAGTGGCCGGTCACACAGAAATGCAGCCAAACTTTTTTTTTTTTAAGTCAATGTAAATCTCCCATGCTGTTTAAATGTCGGAACTAAATTTACCAAACTTGGCAGATTTGTAAGGCTGAGCAGGACTGCCAAGTGTTCCCAGTTTCAAGCAGAGAGAGTTCTAACAGTTCCTGAAATACTTGTAGGAGGCACCTGGTGGTAATTGCAGCTTCACAATTCTTTTCGAGCGCCTACCTTGCTAGTTGGCATCTCTGTACACTGATGATTATTACAGTGATGATAAAGTGTCAGAATAGAATGGTCCAAAATAAGGCACAGCCCTCCCCGTCCCCCCACCCCTCTTCGAAGGCAAGCACATTCTCACAAAATCTTCCTGCTGGAGAACCCTCAGGAATTCAACTGAGGCTTTTGACATCGCAGCCAGCTGTTTACACCAAACAAATAAAGGGGGAGAGGGGTGCAAGACGGAAACCACACACCCATACCTGGAGATACAACTTGACCTAGTTTTTTTTTTCCATTTAATCAGGGATTGTTGTCCGAGATTCTGCGTAAGGAAGAAGACCCTCGGACAGCGTCTCAGTCTCTTTTAGTAAACCTGCGGGCCATGCAGAATTTCCTCAATCTGCCCGAAGTGGAGCGGGATCGCATATACCAGGACGAGCGAGAGCGGAGCATGAACCCCAATGTGAGCATGGTCTCGTCGGCCTCCAGCAGCCCCAGCTCCTCCCGAACCCCTCAGGTGAGGTGTTCGCTCCACTGACTGCACTCTGCCTTGGAGATATCTTGCCTCACTGATACTGGGTTTTCCCTCAAAAATTAAGAGAAAACACAATACAAGAATTTCTTAATCCACTGAACTTGTCGGTCAGAGGACAGGAGCCTCTGAAACAGGCTCATATGCCATTCCTGTCCCTTTGGGAAAGAACTGTTCTTCCACTCAGGGCAGGAGGGCAGGAGGGCAGGAGAGGGTGGACGGTGAGCTCTGAAGGTCTCCATATAGCTAGGGGCCTTGCGTTGAAGCTGAATTTTCATGGCAAGCACACTGTTTTCCTTCAAGTGTGTATTTATTTAGATAGGGGTAAAGTGGTTGGGGGCAGGGGACAGATAGAGTAGTCCAAGTCCTGCTTGATGCAATATGAATAAGACATAACCCGGGAGAAAGCTGTGTGTGACGGAAGCATGCATCTGCAGCGGCTAGGTCAGAATAACTGGGAGAGCATTCACTGACCCCTTAGAACATGGTAGTAGGAAGGGAGGCCTCAATTACTTCCCTTCCCAGGGTGGTGTCCCCACAGCACTCAGTGACTCAGCTTTCAATCCCTCCTTTCTCCACACTTTAAAAGCACTCTGTTCTCAGATCCTCCTGCAGATGCACACATCTATTTATGTCGTGTGCTTCAGAGATCCTAACCGAAGGGTCAAGATCTCAATTCAGCCAAGAGTCATTTCCAATTCAGATCTGAGCCCATTCGTTTTCATCCTACTCCCTACTTCCCCTAAACTTTTACTGATCAGCAGATTTATGATAAAGCCATCTCATTCGCTGTTGCTAGCGTGTCTGCAAGTTCCATCTTGAGTGATAGTTTTCAAAACAAATATTTAATGGGTGCACATCCATACAAATCAGAAAAATGGGTGCTTTGAAACCAGAGAGGTGTTTTGGTTTTTTTTTTGGTTTTTGTTTTGTTTTTGCTTAGATATTATAGTTTTGGGTTTAGGAATTTGTTTTCTGGTAAGTTCTAAGGAACTGATTAAGCATAGAAGCAGCATTTTATTCTAGTAGAAATATTTGAGCTTTTTCAAATACATCCATTTTTTTCCACACATCTTAACTCTTTATATTTTTGCACTCTGCAATAGACTTCTAATTGAAGACCATTTTCTGTCATGCACTGCCGAATTCTGATACTTAGACTTTAGACTTCAGTGAATTATGAGTTTTAGTACTGGTAAGCCAAAAATAAGTCTCTTGACTGCTTACTTTGGACAAGTGTAACCAAGCTTTTTTATTTTTATTTTTATTTTATTTTATTTTTAATCTTGGGGAATACCCATTGAGCTATTGAGTTGGGCGAGTTGTTAATTTGCACTAATACTTACTTCTTTTAAAATCACCAACATTTTTCCCACTTTTGAAGCCCATTAAACCATTACAGGAGAGTCCAACCACACTGCATGGCTGTTTAACCAGGTGACTCTTCTCCAAAAGTCACTCCTACTTGTTAGAAAAACCACACAGGTGTGTTTTGTTTTCTGCTCCTTCTTCCTATTTTTCTAACAAGATTGTATCTGAGGCATCTTTTCCAAGACTTGGTAGCTTTCAGAGCCTGACCAGCTTACAACGCCACATAAGTTAAGGTCAGTATTTTGCTGTTTGAACAGCAGAAAATCCCATCTAGAGAATTCCTAGATAAACATGTCGTGTAAGGACAAGTATAACAGGGAGATTGGTCATTTAATTTCACACTTTTGAGATTTCTGATAATAAAATATTTTTCTCTTTTGAGAATACAATCATAGCATTGATACTTGTAAATGTCGGAACATTTTCCTTTTTCTGTTGGTTACACACTGAGAAAGTTATTGAAGTCTTTTAAAATTTCATGATTACCTACTTACTCAGAATTCCTTGCAGAACTGTCTCAATAGTGAAGATCTACAGGCAGTAAGGCTTTCAGTGTGAGAACAAATGTCAGAGGGTCCACACTCACTCAGCCTTCGAGCTGGAGCCAGCACTGCAGGGCGCGCACGCAGCCTTGCATAGGTGCGTGGAGATGATTTGCCAGACCCCATCAGAACTTTATTATTGGTTTGAAACAAATTGAAGACATTTAAAATTTCAAATTAAACCCCCAGAGTCTCATCCCAGTCCTTCACTTGTCCAGTATTCCTGGATGTACTTAATAATAACAGGATGATACAAGGATAAGAAGGATCATTTATTGAGCACTTACCGTATCAGGTACTGTGGGCATTTTGCATTTTTTGCATTGTTGTTCCCATTTTATAGATGAGGAAACGGAGGTTTAGTTGGGTTAAATACCTTGTGTAAGGTTACATGGCTGACTGGTAGCTAGAATTTGAACTCTGGCCATTCTGATTCCAAAGCGTGGGCTCCCAACCATGTATCTCAGTGCCTTGAGAATTTTCACTTTGGCCGTCAGGGTTCTGGAGAAGGTTTGGCCAGGCAATCAAGACGGATAGTCAGTGAGGTCAGGAAGAAACCTGAGTTGAGAAGGGCAGAAACGGTATGCTAAAACAGATTTACCAGGAAAAGCGCTGTGGCTTAACTAAAAATTTTGAGAAGAGAAAGAGGTTTCTTGAAAAAGGTGATGGAGGATTGGATTATTATGGGAAGACCCCAGACTGGAGGGCAAGAAGAAGCATGTGAAACAGCGCCGGTGTCGGCTGGACGTTTTGGAGGCAGAATCGCACAGTGGTTCCTGAGCCTGTGTTTTGGAGTCTCAGAGACTTGAGTTTAGATCATGGTTGTTTCACTTGCTGCTGCGTGTCCTCCCCACAACTTAAGTATCCTCTTTTATTTTCAGTTGTCCTCATCTGTAAAGTGAAAAGAATAATGTCTGACTCGTGTTCTTAGAAGAATTAAATGAGATAAAGGAAGTAAAACATTTCTGGAGTGCCTGGCACATCAAAAGTACAGCATCAATTCTCCTTTTTGTTACTTGGTAGTAATTAGAAAATAGTAATGGGACAAGGAGGTCAGAGGAGAGTGGCAGAAGTCACTGAGCGCTCGCAGGACTCAAAGTCCTCTTGGAAACTTAGGACATTAGCTCCGGCTTCAAGAATGATCCCACGATGTCCACACTGTGTGCCCTTCTTTCTCCAAACCTGCATACAGCTCAGTCCAGTGGGAGAACAGCTCAGGGCATCCATAGAGGGAAAGTAGTGATTTAGGATTCTAGGGGGGTGGGGACAAAAAGAAAAAAAAAAACCCAAGTCAGCTGGCCGTGCTCGGGAATCCAAGGGTTGGAGCAGAGTTTTCGCGGAGTCCTGTGGCCCCGGGTTCCAAGAAGCCTGCCCAGCGCCTTAATTCCACACCAGAGCAAATGCGTTGACAGTCTTTCAATCAAGTAGATGCAAATGTTTTAGGGTTATCTTAACCCCAAGATGTACAGACACCTTCCATGTTGTCCTTCATTTGTCTCTGAAGCTGAAGGGAAATCATTCAATTAAAACGAGCACGGCAGAATACATAAAACCACAATATGAGTTTAAGAAAATGAAAACGGCGCATCAAAGGCATTCTGAAGCCTAGCTTTATGAAATGAAATTTTGTTTCATTTCCACTGATTTCCTAGGTGAAATTAGGTGACTGTCTGGGTAGCATAATGATGATAATGGTGGGAAACCATACATACTCGAATGACACACATAAAGCTTTAATAAAGAATGAGAGCGACTCAGGGGAGCGCATTAAATTGAGTAATAATTTATTATTTAGAGACCTCTACCCATTTACTCATTTTTTCTGGAAGAATTGGCTCTTCCTCCAAGGTGTGCCATTTTCAGAAAGAAAAAGGTAACTGTGTGTGTGTTCTGCATGCTCGTTTTGCAGTTAGGTGATGGCTTACAGTTTGGTGCCCAGAGAAGCTATCCTACCTGCGAACTGTCTCGGCTACTATGAGGGAAAGAACAGGGCTGACAGGACTCTGCATGTCCTATAGGAATGCACTGCAATTATTTCCAATCACAATTAACCTGATTAGAATAATGGACAGGAAGTGTCCCTCTGTAGCTAATGCAGTTTGGCATCAGCTGACTGAAATCCTTTGATAATTTCTGCACAGATGGCTGGGCTGAATGCAGCACTTTTTAAATTATTATTTTCATGGTCTCTTGGTAGGCCAAAACCTCGACACCGACAACAGACCTCCCCATTAAGGTGGACGGCGCCAACGTCAACATCACAGCTGCCATTTATGACGAGATCCAACAGGAGATGAAAAGGGCCAAGGTGTCTCAAGCCCTGTTTGCCAAAGTGGCTGCAAATAAAAGTCAGGTGAGTGGTTTTTAAAAGAGCAAGAATGAGGGCTGGAATTAGACCCTTCTCCTCCTCCCACCAATAAAAATACATCTGTTCCTATAACAATAATAACAATAATAGTCCCTAGGGAACCTGTCACGTTCTGCCATTGGCTCTGCGGTGTGCTTTTACTCCCCTCAGAGTTCAAAATAGAGACTAAGTCAAAACCCAGATTTTTTTCTTTTAAAGAAAAATTTTTTTTTCAAAAAGCATCAGCCTTGAATGCTTTCTCTCCTAATTCTGAATCCTGCTATGTACCTTTTTTTTGATATTTGGGCACAACTTAGCGTGTACAAAACAGCATCTTCCTGAGACCAGGTTTTCACCAGGTCTCATCGCCTCTCATTCCCACCAGGGGAGTGGGTGACTTTGTTATGACAACTGCTTTTCCCCGGCCCCAGAGACACCTTGCCATGTCAGGTGTTTCTTTCACATACAGAATACAGTTGTTTTTCCAGGAGAAAACACACATCGGGGAGGGCAGAATGAGTGCTAAAATCTTTCACAGGAAAACATAGACGCTTACCCAGTGCAGTTTTTCAGAGTGCTGGGATTGTGGGGAATGGAATGCTCCAGGGAAAAGGGTAGACAGATGCTGGGGTTTTTATTTCTGAAAGCAGCAACAGTTGATGGGATCTACTATCTGTTTCAATTCATTTAAAGGGACAACTACCTCCCTGGCCTAGAATGAGTTAGGATGAGGTGCCCACTTATTCATCCCTGGGTTGAACAATTACCCAATGCAGAGTAGAGGAAACAAAAGTTAGTTGAAGCTTAATTCTGAGAGTCCTTTGATTCTGAGCTTGATTTCCTCTGTGGCCTGGCATGACAAATGTTTTCATCCCTACATATGTAAATGGTAAAATGGTCCATCATCTCCCTGACAGATCTTCTGTTATGTGCTATAGAGGAAGTTCCTGAATACTGTATTAAGCAAGATGGTTTTTAAGAAAAATTAAGGTTTTTAAATGGTATAGTTAAATGCTGTATTTAAACTGATCATACGGTTTGGGGAATAGCCTTTCTTACCTATAGTTTTGCAGTAACCTGCCTTAAGTTATTTTTCAGATGTTAATAAAGGGAGAGGAGTAGAATATCAAGCAGCTTCGAAGAGGATTGAAATATTTCTCTTTTCAATTTCAGTGTAGTTGTTTTTCCAGATTATTCTCTCTCTCATCAATGAAATCATTGAAGTACAGTTTGCTAAGATATGATGTCCAACCATAGTATGAAATACATGAAAATGCCATACAGCCTTCTTAAACTGTTAAATGCATAAAATCCCATGTACCACATGGCAAAATATAATGAGAGTTGGAGCTGTTAAACGAATAAAGCTGTTAAATGCATAATGCCACTTGGCAAAACTACTGTGCATTTAATGGTTTTCCACTGTGTAATAAAGGACATATGTGGTAAATGTGCAGTAAGTATAAAGCTACACAATTGATTTTGCAAACCTGCCCCTGAGTCGTGACTTGACGTAAATATCAAAGTTTCACTCAGTACCCCTTTTATAAGCAGCTTTCAAGAAAAACTAAAGACCACAGTCTGAGAACTTGATTCAAAACGCTTGTAATCTTCCTGTTGACTTGGCACTATGGCTGCTGGAAATAGTGATGCCTCTAGCCTCCCCAAATAATTCAGGTGGCTGATTGAAAACTGTGTTTGCCAGTTGGCCCAAACTTAGCTCTCTGAATTTGTGTTGCCTCCTGAAGAACTCAGTAGCCCTGTCTTTGTAGAATCTGGAGGAAAACCTAGTTCTGGGAATCAATGTGCTAAAGGGTAAGATTGAGCCTAAATGAGGATCAGATATTTTGCACTTTTTCTTTTTTCCTTTGGGACAATGGTTTCATTCTCGTTTATGAATAGGGGATCTTATTTGTAAATAGCTGACTAGATTTGCAAATCAGGTGTTAAGTTTTTTTAAAAATGGCCCCACCAAACAAAATGAACTTAGCTGATAGTTTCAAGGGCAATTTAACATAAGATATTCACTGTATTTTGTAAGTACTACCAGAGTTTGCTTGATAAAAAGCATATTTAGTGAAATCAATTGCATGAAGTGGTACTTTGCACATGCATTTGGTGCGTATCTGTAAGGGGTGTGTGTGTATAGAATGGGACATTGGCCAAAGTACCTCTCCAAGCTGCAGTGGGATGTGGCCACACCCTCTCCATTGGATTGGGAGGCTAGAAGAACAAAAGTTTTCTTCTCTCCTGCATTCCCTTTCCTCTTCCTTCTGTTATGTTCCTTTGGAGAGATCAGAAGTTCTTGGAGTGACTGAGGAGGCCAATAAATAGCAAGAGTGCTCCATTCTCTTGGAGGTGAAATTAGGAGAACCTTGAGTAGAAACTCTTGTGAACTGGAGTGGGTTTGGAGTCTGGAAGGCCCAGTTCAGCCATGCAGGGTAACCCCTCCCCTTCCATTTTAAATATCTTTTAAAATGGAAAGGAACCCTCCATTAAGTCTCATTCACTCCTTCGTGTGAGTTGCTGTCACCGTATTAAGAATAATATTTAACACTGCCTGAGTGTTAGGCAAGCTTTGAATGAGGAGTAGGAGAACTTTAGAGATTAAGGGCAGTGGGCCAGAGTGGTCCTTGCGGGCTGTGTAAGTGTTTAGGGAACAGGCACAATTGGAGGAGGGTTCAGAAAAGGAACTGAAAGAGTGACAGACCTTTGCAGTTGTACCTATGGTCCTGTTGGTGAAAATACGTGGCTGGAAAGTGTGTGTTTCCTTGGTGTGCGGGTTACATCAGGGTGCATTTGTCGGGTGCTGGAACATCTGTTCCTTTAGTTCGGCTCCAGCTCCTTTGTCATGGCCAGGCCAGTCCATCACCTGATTTCACTGAGTGCCTCCTGTCTGACTTTTGCCCCTTTCTTCATGGGAGAGGAGTCAAAGACGGAAGAGTAGGCAGGTGGTGGGGTAGGGGTAGAGGAAAAGGTATGCTTCTATACATTTCATCTTTTACTTTCCGTTCATTTTGAGTTTGGGATATGATATACTATGGTCAGTGATTGTTCTCTGTGAAATAGGAGTGTGGGGTGCTTAGTAGGAGCCATAGTGCAAAGGTAAGTGGGACATTTTCTGCACACCTTCAGAGTGGCCCTTACACACAAAGGGCCACCAGGGAATGAGCGCCCCAGCATGCCGTCTGAATGGCCACAGGAACTCCTTGTTCCTTGATAGCTTCTTGTAATCTCCCTTACCCCTCTTACTCAGATTCTGTAGGGTTACTGTCCCCCTTCCTCCCAACTGCAGCTTGTGATGTGTGACCTGGGAAGTGGAAATCTAGGGAGGAAAGGAGCAAACACCGTGACCTGTGGGCACCCCCTGCAGTCCTCCAGGGCTGGCCACGTGCTTTGTCACAGCATTATCAGCCACGCTTCTTTCCCTTGACATCAGTTGCCCCTTTCCCCAGGCATTAATGCGCCGTTTCTCTCGTATCCTGCCCTCTTCTCATTTTTTGTTGCTTATTCAGCTCATGGAATACTGAGAGTGATCTGAGGTTGGTTTCCTTTGCAAGGAGAATCTTTATTATTTGTGTGCCCAAAGACCCAACTCTACACGTGACTGTCTTTTCCTACTAGGTTTGGGTGAAAATAGAGTAGGTTGAGGGATGGGAAGGGGCTGTTCTATCTTGCCCCTATTAAAAAAAAGTAAAAACAAATGAATGAACAAAAATGTTAGAAGGCCACTGGGTTTGCTTTCTTTTTTCTTTTCGTTTTTTGGGCGGGTGAGGGGGGTGGAGGGGAATCTTGCTTTCTATATTAGGAAGGTAGAGAAAAGCTGAGACACTGCCAAAAGGAGAAACAGACAACGTGGTTGTAAGCCTCAGATGCTGGTAATGAAAGGGCCAACCCCAGAGTCTGCTGAGGTAAAAGAAAAAGAGTGATCTGGGAATGACTGGACCCAGAAGGGTCTCTGATGAGATCCTCATCTCACCAAGATTTAAAGACCCCTGCCAACCCTTGAGTTCCCCTCCCCGACACGCACACCTTCCCCGGCCCACAAGCCGCAGGAGCTCCCACTTGGATCAGGAGTGGCAGAGCCCTCACTGCCACTGCACAAGAGAGAGGGAGGTATATTCGTGATCCCACTGCACCTGTGGAAGATGAGTTTCTGGTCTCCAGCACATACTTCTGAAATCATTTCCTCCATAGGAGCTGGCTTCTTCGTGGTGATTGGGTTTCAGTGTGTTCCGTGCTTTATGCACATTAGGATGAAGCAGAGCTTGCATACTGACTGGCCCTTATTCCTTATCACTGTTTCACCAAAAAAATGTTCCATGTCTGCACCTACTGACTTTAACAAATTGTATTGCTAAGTAGAAGGTGACTTAAGCTTTAGATGTAGGTTACAAGGTCAGATTTTATGGACATTCTCCTTTATTATCAAACATCCCCTTATAGATGATCTAATTTGCTTAACAGGCTAAATGATTTAAAACATCCACAGCAGATTCTTTTTAAAAGCATAAATAAAGACAGTCAACTTTACGTAAAATAATCAGTATATTGTTTGGTTTGCTTCCTTCCTTTTATTGCTTTTTGCTGTCGAGGTTTATATCATATTCAGTATATATGCTAACATATTTTCTTCATTCAGTCATGAGTTACCATATTGCTTTTGTGTCTCCTCTTAAAAATGTCCCAGGTACAAGTTAATTGTACATATTTCTTTTTTAAAGAAATAACTTCTATTTTTGATGACTTTAAGTAATAGCATCCTCATTTTAGAAAATTCAGAAAATGAAGAAAAGTACAAAGGCAAAACCATGAATCACACATAACTCCACAATCCAAAGATAGTTACTAATAACATTTTAGAGTTTGTGCTTCTAATGTGTATGTGTGTATATGAGTTTCACATGTGTGTTTGCATCCTAATTGGGATCATACTGTATAACACAGAACTATAAGACAAGTTAAAACTACAGTTATTTCAAGGCCAACTTTGCATGTAGGAGAGT